TGGATGATCTTTCATCTATATACATGTTATATTGAACGATTCTTGCATTATTGGTTTGATTCAAGTCGTCAGTCCCAACTAGGGTTTGAAACTTTTTTTTTCCTTTACTAATTTTCGATTGATACTCTTCCATTTGTCGTGTTTGACCGATATTTTCCTTATTCTCTGTTCAATCTATTGTATTCCCTTATTTTAAGTGTTTTTTGCATGTTATGTTTCCTTATTCTCCGTTTAATTTACTGAACTTCCTATTCTATGTATTATTTGCCCTAAATTGACTCTAATTGATTCTGGCATGCCATACTTTCCTTATTCTGTATTTAATTTACCGTGTTTCCCTATTTTATGTGTTAAATATGATACTATATAAACCCCTCCTCTAAAACCCCATAGGAAGACCAGGGGGGAATCACCTAATCACTACCACTATTCTCATTATTCTCCCTTTTCACTTACTCATTCACTCTGATACACTCAAATATTTTGTGAAACTGTTGAATTCTGGGCCGACTGAAAACCAAGGCCATTAAACGAGCTCCTCCGGTGCAAACACTACTCGGAGCCCTTCTCTAGGCTCTTGTGAACTCTGAAGCATCGGAGATCTGGGGTTCTTGCTATTTAGCTCTTTACTATTCTTTTGCTCGTATAATTTTGCTGCTGGTTAGTGCTTTTAACCCTTGCAATGCTAATTTTCTTTCTTTCTTTCTACGTGCCTATATGTATTTGCACTATATGAGTATGATTTAGTTGTGAATCCCTGATATTGCACTGTTATGATAATCCTCAATACTCTTTCGTCATCCTATGATAGTTGAATGCATGAGATAGTTTCTTCACTATGGTTTGTATTTCTATGTTGGTTCTTTGTTTTCTTGTGGAATCAGTTCTGTACCTCTAGCATCTGAATATGTTTTAGTTTTGAGTTTCAATGCATGCCTATTTTGATTTGAATCTGACTGTTGTGACTATATGTTGTTAGTTATAGAATTTCTTCATACCTTGCTTTGGATACTATTACAACTCTATGGAAACCTCTTTTTTACTTTGAATGAATCATTTAGTGCTGAGTCTTGTGTTTGATTGACTGTTCTTTGTGCACTAGCCATAACTATATGGAACACTACTTTGCAGTTTACTCTAAACATGTTTTCCTTGCTATCCTGATCCCTAGTATCACTTAGGATTTTAAGAAAAATATTCCATTTTGCCTCAACTATGATCTTGCTTCCATGCTAATATGTTTTCCAGTCTGTTTTTGTTCATTTGATATTTTGCCTCTTCCAATGTTTATCACAATGTCTAAATATTGATTAGTATGACCCTAAGATGCATGCTTAGCTTAATCCGAACCTCTTAGGTTTCAATTGGTTGAATGATAATCTATGTATATCTTGCAAACCTATTGCTTCCCCAATTTTTTTTTAATATGAGACTATCTATGAGGTGCTTTGTTGTCTTCTTAAACCTACTGGCCTCCTTAATTGCTCTGTATGCTTAACTTGGTGTAGTACTTAATTTATGTCCCTCTATCACCATCCAGTCTCCTTATTTGCTACTCATGTTATTCTGAATTCTCATTCTTAGTCGTCTGAAAGCCAAGTCTATCTATCTATTGTCGACCTCCCTAGTGTGAGCACTGCTCGGGGTCCAATTGAGGCCCTTGTGAACTCTGACACACTAGGGCTTGGTCCTAGTCACTCTCTCAATTAGTTATTCTATTTGGGCCTGTTATAGGCCTGTCTATTGCCATGTAATATTATTACTTTATTATTAATTTGGGTCTGTAATAATAATCTTTGTATAAACGATTGGGGTGTTAGAAAAAGAGAATGAGGTAGATTCTAATACTAACATGCAAAATGGGTAGATAACATGCCTATAGGACTTGGTAATATGTTTTCTATATGTGTTGTTCGATTACATGATCACCGTAGAGATCATGACATTCGGGGGAGCGCGCGCACACACACACATTACTTGTTTACTATTAAACATGAGTTCAAATGCTATGTCTACTGCTACGTGTTTATAGACAGCATGCATATAGGAATTGAGCACTCTTTCAATTTGCATGACTGCCTTCAACCGCATTAGAAACCTGCCTATAGGAACAAATGAATTTTCCTGCAATTCACTTCAGTTATTCACTAGAAATCATGCCTATTAGAATTTTGACCACTTCATTTGATATTGTACCACATTGATCATTATAAATCTTGTTTATAGGATTAAGTATAAATAAAACGAGCTCTGAAGTATTATGCATTAGAGATCCTGCCTATAGGAAATAATTACTCGTTATAATTGGTTAATGCTAGACCATTCAAACACTGCTTCATGCACGTCGTACAAATAATTCTGGGACTCTTTCCCTAGAATATTCTGTTGTACCCAATTGCGTAGATCTACTTAGGCATCACACATATAGGATTGGTAACTTAAAACTCTCAACAATTAACTTATGATACCCGCATGATTCTGTCTATAAGCTATATCCTGCATCCGAAATTACTTGCATACTTTGATTGCCTAGAAAACATGTCTATAGGATTCTGCAAATTCCTGATTGGCATATGTGTTTGCGTGCATTTACTGCTTAAGTGTGGAGGCAAACTTGATCCCCCCTTTATTGCCATATTTGAAGTCCAATGTGTTTTGTATGTCGCCTAGTTTTATCATTTTGAGCAGCCTAAGTTTAAGTCTAGAACCACCCTAAATAAAGGTCCAATTCCCTCTTGGACAATAGGTATGGGACGGGTAGTGCACGCATAAGGTACGATTTATAAGTGAATTAGTGCACTTTAGGCAACAACTTTAACATAGTAATAGGATAGGAGGAGATGATAGTCTGTGCCCGCTGAATAATGCGAGTAACACTCCATCTTGAGGGAGTTACGAAGTATTATTTATGTTGCACGGAGTGATCCTTTAGGCTAAAAAACTTAGTACCCCCTCCTCTTTATATGTTGCTATTAGATCCAAAATAGTTGTATCCCTATACTCGCACTAAGATATGATGTTGTAATAAAGTTCTTTGACTTCTGAATCCCCTTTGTTTAATTGATCACCTAGCTTAATCGTAATCCACATAATCTTAAGTTCGGCCGGGACCCACAGTTATGGACCTCGAGGAGTGTCTAACACCTTCTCTTTGATGTAACTTTAGCCCTTACCTGATCTTTGGTTACGTTGATTAGTAAAACAGAGTCATTTGCATAATAGTTACCCTAACGCACCTTAAAAATCGTTAGGTGACAACTCTTCTCCTTTAGCATTCTATTTCCCATCCTAAAAAAGAGTTGTCACAACGTCGAAGCCCGCTTGCTTTTCGCGAGAAAAACGGGGGGCGACAGCATGGCAGTATGCAATAAGTATTCCAAAAAGCATGAGCAATATTGTAGCATTTAATAGCAATGAATAATAATAAATTGCACTTAAGTAAATATGAGAAATGATTCACCCAATAAATGATGAACTAGATGGTTGTTCCTCTTGACAATGACGAGTGACAGACAAATCCTTGAATGTTCGAATTATTCTCGAATCTGATTGAAAAGTATGGAATAATATCGACAAGAATCTTAGTGAAAAGGTGATAGTTGTATCTTAGTAAGAGAGAGAAAATCTTTTTGTCAAAGTGTGTTCTTACAAATGAATATCACATGCCTCGTATCATTGTCTTTTTTTCTATTTATTAGAGACATATTACTGCTAAACCCTAATAGTACAAATGCATAGAATATTCACTAGAATATTTTCTTTAATATCTTATTTCGAAAACTAGCCATTACAACTTCATCAACGGTGCTCGACCTCGACCATTATTGACATCTCGACCACGGCTCTCGTCGACTCTTCGACTATGAGCCTTGCTGCTTCCTGGTCCACCTTGACTAACGACGACTCGATGATTCTTTCTTTAACGTTATCTTATCTTAAATATTTTAGGGCATAATAACTACTCAAACTTCTAAGACAACACCTCTCATTCACTCTAGACCAAGGACTGTCGGCTAAAGGTTGTTCAGTCCACCTCAGCTATGGCTTTGGCCTTTGAGGTTCGAGAATCGAGCATATACATGCATGTGTCCCATGTTTGGAGCCTATCAACTATATGATAATTCGTCATACAAAATCTTATAGAATAGTACATAATGAAGTTTTAGTTAGGAGATAATTAGCTTGTATTAAATAGTAATGCACTAGTAAATAACGTAACTCACTTCAATGATATATGCTAACAAGTACAATATAAGTAGTTTGCAGGGGGGATCCACACACAGAATTGTGGTGCTCAACCATCCATTGCCCATGGTATCCAACATATAATTTTATTGACAATTTCGCATGAAATGATATATATTTTGGTGAGCACCCATTACTCAAACAGACTGGTGGGTGCTACTGGTTAATGGAATCTAAGTATGCGCTTTGCGTAATCCGAAGTTCGATTCTTATCATAGTGCATTCTTTAACTTTTTTTTCCGTCTCCCTTTTACATGACTTTCCCTTTTGTTCTTAACTTTGCCGTTTTTTCTTTCTTCAATTAATTTGGTTCATCGTGGCACAAAAAAAAATATATTCAATTTACCACCACCAAATTTGACAGCCTATATTATGGTTTAGAATCCCCACAATAATGATAATATTCAAGAAAATATGGATATTCATATTTTTCGTCATTCAATTTATGTTTTATCCGTATTAAATATGAGTGGTACGAAAATTTTATCTGTGTTGTCTAAAATGTATTCAATCCGTCTACATTTGCTAGCACTAATTAATAGTGAGCACCTATTACCTTAAAATGTTGGATCTGCTGCCACTGGTAGTTTGCATTGGATTTCAACCATCAAGACAACTAATTGTCTCCTCTCATCTCTTCCTTTCCCAAGTTAAAATCACAAGTTTACTTTCAAAAACTTTTTTCCCCTTATAGATGTTCGAAAAGACAAATCCAATAGTTCTTTATAGACATAATTGCAGCAGCCTTATACTCATTCATAGGCAGAGAAAAATCCATATAAACACCAGACACAGTTTTGGGGAATCCTAAGATGAAGTTGCTTATTGTCAATCATAAGTTGTTCTTCTTCTAAACATAGGCGACGGACAATTTAAGCGCTATGTTGGAAATGTTTGTTAGTTTCTGCTTGGCGATCAAACATTGCCCTGAGTTGCTTTGCTTGTTCTTCAATCCGCAATTGTAAGCTTCTCTGAATCTATGAAGGAACAGATATAACCGATATGAACAAGTCTCTCTGAATCCAAAACGGAAAGAATATAACCAATGTAAACACATGTTTCTCTGATCATTTGAAATAGCAGAGTAAATCTATTCAAACCTCAAGTTGTTCATATAGGCTCTGCTGGACGCTTATTTGCAGTTTCAGAGCCTCCAATATTTGCGGATACCTACCAATATGTGCAAAAGGAAAGAATGTCAGAAACACTGAAGAATAGACAAGAAATTCTAACTTGATTAATCCTACTTAGCTGACTGATCTTATTGAGGTGTAACACCAGAGAGAATGAAAACATATCTCTGTTCCTTCCTTTTTAGCGAACTTACGTTTCTGGACCATGCGCTGGAAATGAACTTCTATGAGGTGATCCTTCAGTTAAAACTGCATCTGCACGCAATGTAAAGAAAATCCCATTTTTCTATTAGCACACCGATGAATTCAAGGTACTATATATATGATTATTTTGCGCGGTGAAATGATTGATTCCATATTCATGCATTTTTTGACACACACACACCAACAAAAAAAAAAAGTTGTTCTCAGTTCGTTACATGATTGCATCTATCTTTTATTTCCAATTAGTGATCTATAGTTTTCTTGTCTATAAGGATCACACAGCTGATCTTTACATGATGGGTTTAACTTCCAAGTATTTAAATCTGAAGGTTACCTTTGGGGGATATCGTTACATCACAGGTAACACGATATTTCTGAAGACAAAAAAAAGAATAACAAAAGGAATACTTTAGATTTCTGAGAAGCAGGAGTCAATATCATCATCAATAATCTTGAAATGTACATAATGTTTTATACCTGCAAGTGACTTTTAATATTTGAAATGCTCAATTCGTAACAGTTCATCAGCTTAAGGATTGCCTTTGGTGTTGCCTCTGCACCCAGTCGAAGAAACAGCTGTTTAGATCATAGACATCATGTTGACTTGAATTACTACTTTCAGTATTTTTACTTACTTTTGGCTCCTCCAAGTCGATTAACACATTCACAAAATTGCTCGTGGAGATCCTGAGTCCACGTGATCCGCCTCTTTTTTGTTGTCTCTGCTCTTTCTGGAGTAACATTACTCGAAGAAATACAGACACTTTCATTAGGAGGAGATTGAGGCTTCTTCTCTAGTTGGCATACACAACATGGTTTAATAATTCGCGACTTGAATGAATCCTTCCCCACCTGTGATAACAAGAAGGACAACCATAAAGATTTCATGATAACTTTATTGTACAAGAGATAAGCAGTGTTATTAACCTCAGACCATTACATGTAAGAAGTCCTGGGGACTTGGGATTGTCTTAATCTATCTTTATAACTAGATAGATCTTGTACAACTATAACGGCAGCCCGATGCACTAAGCTCCTCTTGTGCGCGGGGTCTGGGGAAGGGCCGGACCACAAGGGTCTATTGTATACAGCCTTACCCTGCATTTCTGCAAGAGAATGTTTCCACGGCTCGAACTCGTGACCTCCTGATCACATGGCAACAACTTTACCAGTTACGTCAAGGCTCCCCTTCCATCTTGTACAATTATGTCCCATTTAATTACCTAGCTAGTACATGTTCCGTATCTTGAAGCAATAAAAATTTACAATTTTTTTCTAGATTTTCTTAATGAAATATTAAGGTTAAGGGAAATGTAAAGATTTCATGCAAAGCAAATATCAAATATGTCGATATAGGCTTACTTGACTGCCTCTCGCCGCCATACTTAGATAAGGATCGCGCAAAGTTTTGGCACCCGTCAGGGCTGACTTGTTCTGCTGCCACATGCGATGCTTATGATGAAGCAAATCTTTTGCCAAAGATTCAGGTTTGTGTCTACAACTAAAAGAAGATTGCACCAGTGAATGCAAGGTATCTCTTGATTTAAAATTTTCATCAGCCAAATCATATTTATTCAAAGGTTTATTTGATGTACTGGCTGTATCATACATCTCCAACTCCTGTGAAAACATAGGCATTTTATGATCATCAGAGTTTTCACATAATTGTCCAAAAGTTCTGGAGCTTTCAGATGCAGAAAATTTAGAGGTTCTTGATTCTAGATGTTTACATAGAATTCCATAGAGAGAATCATCACCACCCGAGACTCCTTTGATCAACTGCAAGAAACTTGGCTGTGATAGAAAACCATTTGAAACAGAGAAACAGGTAATTTAACTACAAAGTAAACTTATTTGAGAATTTGAAGTACTCTTCTGAAATCAAAAGATGCTGATTAATTGTTCACTTTCAGATGTTAAGATACCATATGTGAAAAAGACCAAACAAATGACAAAAACAAAGAGCCAAAGAATCAACTTGTCTAATTTGCTGCTATAGTTGGATTACTATCATTCCAAATCTTATGCAGTGAGGACTATAAGAATTAATTTAGCAATATCAGTGATGACAGTTAGCACAAAAGAATACTTTCACAGAAAGTATAATGCAAAATGGACAAAATGTAGCGTTTACCATCATTGCCCTCGCTCTCAAACTAACTTGTAAGAAACTATAGAGACCAAAACTTGTCCAAATTCACCAGACAAGAAAGTTGGAAATAGAGAAGGAGATTTCTGTAAATTAAGTGCAACAAACTTAAAGAAACAAATTTCAAGGTTGTGTTTCTATTTAAGAATGCAGAAAATGGGAAGCATGGTATGGGTGGCATTTGAGGTATGCTTAATTTTTATAAGGAATGCCATCACAATGACAACAGTATGTTCAAAAAGTGTGTTGTTGTGGGCCCTTTAACATTTGTATATGTAGCACAAGAATTTTGTTTTGCTTCTTTCATTGTTTTTCCTTTACCTCTTTATTTTGCTCAGTCAATTATCCAATATCATGACATGAACCTAATCTACAATATTCGAACCTGCATGGCTGCATGCACTTATTACTCACGTCTCACTGGTAAGTCAAATGGAGAAAGACTTATTAAATTTGCTCTAGATCCATATATTGTTTCAACTGCAACACTACATATATTACTATATATTGTAATTAATATAAATATTACTACAACAACAACAACCCAGTGAAATCTCACAAGTGGGGTATGAGAATATAAATATTAATGTATATTATAATTAAAATAAAACATCAAGTCAACTAAAAAGTATAAAGAAAACTAAAGATGAGTTTCTCTATGCAAACATATTAATACCATAAGCTAAATATCCAATTTGGGTCTATCGGAAACAATCTTTCTACCTCTCCAGGTAGGGGTAAGGTCTGCGTACACACTACCCTCCCCAGATCCCACTTGTAGGATTACACTGGGTATGGGTATGTTGTTGTTGTAAGCTAAATATCCAATTACACATAATAATCAAATGATTAATTCATAATGTTATAATTCCTATAAAATGATGTCTAGAGAGTATGTTAAGAAACCAAATAGTCTTAAGAATATTATGCGTGCAAACTAATCCCTTAAGATGACAAAGTAGCATTTGTTTTCCATACTTCATGCTAGATAGATGTTGATGCATGTATCAGGAAAAAGACAATTGAACTTATGAGGATACAAAGAGGGAGTTGATTATAACAATGAGAAAAACAAGGTGATGCTGATGATACAAGTTCCACTGGAGCTACAATAAAGTTCCTTTTCAGCCAATGGAATTGCTCCATTCTGATAATACAATTACCAAAAGAAGGGTCTCCTAAGCTTCTATATAGTCGAAATGCACTCGATTCAACAAAAATTGTGCAACTTCTTCTCTGTTAGAAGGTACTACACGAGGAGAACTGCATTGATACAACCATCATTTTCAGGATTATTCGTCACTTGAGCATATTTCCCTGGCATTCAAGCATCCAATAGGAAGAATCATCAGAATTTGAAGGACAAAAAGTCCCAGAAGTGTAACATCATAGTAACGCATATCTTACCCCATACAACTTTCCCAGCAGGAGTGACAAGACCAAGTTCACTGACATTAACCTGGATTTTATAGCAAGACCATTAGCGATGCAAGCTAAACTAGATAAACTTTGGTGCAGTGTTGAAAAGGGAAGATTACCTCAATGATGGTTCCCTTGGTCATAACACCTAGTGAAGTATACATTGGACCATTAGGATTCTTCTTCACCCCGATAATCTCAAGGTTGAATGTGCATTTAAGTTCAGGGGGTGTCACATGGGCTTTAGTGAACCGTAATCCAGACGGGCGGATGAACCGCTCATACTTTGGAGGTTTCCTGGTAAACCCTGCTCCGACAAAGATGGCTTTTGTAACCATTCCCTTCCACTGCTTGGCTGCAAAGACGAGCACATATCAAAATGGTAAAAAAGTCACTCTTACCAATCCCAAAGACAACAAATAATACAACAAAGGATAAGTGTGAGTTGCTGAAATTAAGAACCTGGACATGGCTAAGAACCTGTAAATACAGGCTAACCACAGAAAACGAAATTAGATGATTGTAGAATACTCACTCTTCCTTTTTCCAGATCTTATCACTCTGAAGTCTGAACATCTCATCCTCAGCCACAGGCCTAACCTGTAAGGTAAAGTATCTTATTAGAAAGCAATTCAAGTAAACAAAAAGATAAAAGCACATTTACCCATATTAGGAATTAAAGTGCTGCTCATATGGTTATTGGAAATGGTAACTCTTTGTGCAGCATCTATTTTCAAAAGCACAGTATACTTATCTAAGAAAACAAATAAGAATCATTGCTCTAGCTAAACGAATTCTATCTGAGACAAAAAGATTCACAAGTGCAGTGTTAAGAACACAAACTGAAGTATGAAGTATCTCTATTTGTGACCAGTCAAACAAAGAGAGACAGAGAGATGTCAGTATTTCAGAATTGACGAACCCTTAAAATTGCACAGGAACACAATCAGGGAAAAATATGAACACACTGGACAAGGGTATAACCATACAGAGATAGTATTGAATGAGTACCGTAAAGATGAGAATAAGACCACTATTCCAACTTTACCTTAGGCAGAGGCACCTCCCATTTTCCAGCTTTCTCTTTCCGGTTTTGCTTTATTGTGTTGCTAAGAATCTACACAGAATGTTTAACATTTAAAACCAGTATAAACAGTCTATGTTCATTTTAGCACCAATTGAGTAAAAAGACAACACTCAACATACCTTAGCTCTTGCGGTTGTATGACGGTCAATCAGATATGCAGGGACAGCACCATCATGCACATCATCATCAACCTTGCGACGGGTTGATGACTCTTCATGCATAGCCAATCTATTCAAAGAAAGAAAAGAGGTTAATTGATAGAATTTCAGAGACTCTGCTACAAAGTTACCACGCCTTTTTTTCATTTATAAACTGGCAGAGGCTTCAGCGCCCGGAAAATCATCAAATCATGTGTCCCGCCCACAAGGATCACATGATCACCAAGTAGTCTATAACTGATTTTAGAAAATTAGCGCATCATAAATAGAATCATCCACAGAATACGGCAACAGTAGTCAGAAAATATGGAGATGTTACTTCGGTGTAAGAGGCAGAAACTATCTCTTCTTATTATCTTTTAATATGACCTAAATCTATACAGGGCATACTATTCACTGATTAACAATTTACCCCCCAAAAAAACAGAATCAGTGATATTGAAGTTAACCTTATTAGAAGGCAAAAGTCATACAATTATTTCAATACAACTGCTAAATGTTAGAGAAACTAGGTTTGCCATTTTAGTAACCTTGAAGTGGAAACAGTTAGTTAAACGATTCACCTCCCTCCCTACCTTCCTCCCTCTCTCTGAGTTCAACGCAGACAAAGTCCACGTTTATTTCAATCTGCTAAAATTATGTTTGACATTTTAATAGACTTAAATTGGAAACAATTCATAAATGATTCAACCTCTCCCTCTCCCTTCCTCACCAAGAGTACTACCGCCATCTTCTGGCACCATAACATAGAACAGCAGCCGCAATATAGCTAGAAGAAAAGGAGACACTATGGAAAATCAGAGAACTCATAAAACTCACCCTCTAAAATTGAATCAGCATCTCCAGCTTCAGATGTGAGATCCTGATTCATTGATCCAAATGAACACTATGTAAGCTGGTGGTTGTAAAGCAGAGTTGGTTCTATTTCCAACTCAAAAGCAAACACTAAACCAAAGATACAGAACCTTTCAGTATATCCCAATATTTTCTCTACCCAAACCACCCAAAGAGCACTCATAATATGATAATAACCAACCGTAGGAGCATTAATTATTCCCATTACCCAAAATCAAAACCACACAAATATCACAAAAGAGGAACTACGCCATCTTTTATTATTTCGAATATCTCTTATTCATATATTATTAAAGGATCACAACTTCGTTCCCTTAGGCTCATTTGTTCCAAACGTTAACCACCGCAGCTGATTTAGACCACTCACGGGGAACAACAGAACGAAGCCTTTTCGCTAGCTGCTAAAACAGGGGTCGGAGGGTATAACCGATAAGCAGGAGCGCCCTTATCGATCTGTCACCCTCGTTTACCTTTACTTTAGATTACCACTCGCAGTGAAAAACTGGATATGATCCCACAGGAGGAGATGATCCCAAAGACACACACATGGAAACCTCATCTAATCATCCCAGATCACAGAATAGAAGAGATCTGGGTAAGGATGATGAAAGCGGGCCCATCTAATGCAAACCGCGCGGGACCGTCCGCTAGCTCACAAGATTCCACTACAGTGGATTGGCCGGCTCGTGGGCTCTATAAACTCACTCTCTTCACAACGAGAGGAGTTTACTACGCTTATGGCCTCCTTTAGATTGACAATGCTGCCTGTTTCATTTGGGCTATGAAACTAATTCTGATTATTCAAATAGAAAATTACTGAATAGTTAATTTAACTACATCTCAGTCCCAAACAAGTTGGGTCAATTATATAAATACTCATCATGTAAGTTCAAAAATGTGCGCAAATTAGTTCAAAAAAATTGTTCACTATCATATCCGAACGATCAATTTTAGTATATCAGACAAACATGTGGATACAACAATAACTAAATCTCAAGCCCAAACTAGACGGGGTCGGCTCTCTAAAATCCTATGTTCATTCTACTCTAGTTTGAGCATTTCATTCACCTTCAACTATGCGGTTCTTAGTTTAAAAAAAATGATACTCACAATCACAATAAAAATCAAAGTCTTTCTTTTTTTAATTTTTAACACAATCACAATTTCATGCCTAAAATGGTAATTACACAATTAGAAGAACTTACGTTTTCTTCATTTGGGCTTTTTCAGCATACCGCTTCTTAGCAAGCATCTTACCCTTAATACCCAACGCTTGTTTTTGACACAAAAAAAAAAAAAAAAATTTAAGCAAAACTTTCATACAAAAGGGGAGTTTGAATTATAATAAGGATAAAAAACGAGGGACCTTTTGGGCAATTTTGGAGCGTTTGTGAACTTCACGAGCCTCCCTCTTACGTTTACGCTCCTCGTGATCAGGGCGACGGCCAAATCTCTTCCTGTGTAACTCTATATAATCTCCCTGTGGCTGTTATTTTTATTTGCAAATTTTCACATCACAAAAACAAATCGATCATTAAAAGCAACAGTATATAATATGTGTAAAGCAAATTGTAAAATAGATAAGATTGATGAAGTAGTTGAATTCAAACTAACCATGGCTACACGATGAA